CTTAGGTTTATTTCAATGTACTACAACAGAAAATTAAAAATATTTCTGCAGTTATTCTCAGTTCAGAAGAAAGGCCCTATAGTAAATGAGGACAGATTTTCTTCCTCTCCCCCTTCTTATTTTTCAGAGGTATAGTTTTAATTAACTGTCTATTGGGCAGTATTTATCTTTCTTATTTAGTTCTTGTTTTTAGTTATTAACTAATAATCACATTTCAGCTTCTGAACACAAATCTTAATTCCTCTAAGCACCCTGGAAATAGTCACTTATGTCAGTAGAGAAGTCTGCTACATCTCTAGTAGCTGGGCTTTGTTGACTGAGAACATGTCCTTCGCTGTTGATCTGGTTGTCATACACCAATGAAACAAAACTGAGCAGCAAATACTGTCTACAGAGGTTGCACTGGATTAGCTGAAGAGTTGACCTTTATAGCCCTAAGCTCACCCCTAAAACTTGTTTGATTTCACTAGTGAAACTAGAACATATGTGTTTATAGACCTAGGCTGTATTATATTCCTAATCTAACTAAACTGACTCAGTAAAACACTTAATTTTTGCATAGTCTTTCAGATATTTGATTTTTTTTGTCTGCTCTGAATAGCAAGCATAGTATTATGTGGTACTAACCAGATGTGAGGTCCAGACTGTAAATTGCCCTGGATACTCTAGAATTAAAGCTTTGCAAATTAAGTCACCACTTGGCTGATGTTTGTATTAAATTTCTGTATGCCCATAAAGTTTTTACGAGAATGAAAATGTCATTAATGCTTAATATTAGTATATTATTACTTAATGATGATGAAGCAGATTGTTCAATTTAGTTAAAATGAAAGCTGACCTTCTACTTTTTCTACTAGAAGGTCTTTCTGGTTCCTTAAAGTTTAAGAGATTTTCCTCATTCCCTTGTTCCTCAGACTGGAAAGAGAGCTATCAAAATGCTTGCAAGGATCATTTTAAGTAAAAAGTCTAACTTAGGAAAAGTCTTTCTTCATACTTCAAATTTTAAATAAAAGAAGCCTTAGTTATTTCAGTGTGCACTGGCAGGATAAACTTCTGAACTTTTGGATCCTTTTGTAAACAAGGTTTAGCCAACACTGCTTATTAGACTTGGGGTTTTGTCTGTCTGAAGTGTATTTGAGTGTCTCCCATCCTCTTAACTATAAAACTGAGAAGAAAGAGAAACCTTGAAAGAACCTTGCTACCAGTCTGATTCAACTGAAGTAGCAAGAGCTGTTTTGATAATTGTAATTCCTCATGTCAAAAATTGTGGAAAATAAAACAAAAAAAATCGCTATCTTAAGTTTTCCATGTTTAAAATATATTCAATTCAGCCTTACTGAAGGAAGGGAAAGTTTTCTCAGCCCTTATTTGCACACATGGTAACAACAGAGGCTAGTAATTTATTACAAAACAGTTCTAAGGAAGATGCCTTACATAAAGTTTCCACGCAAAATATGTTTCTAATTGTATTTCTGAGTGTATTTGAAAGTCATTCTCCAAAATATATATATATATCTTTTAATAGTTAGTGCTGCCTTTTCAATATATTGAGTACCTTGCTTTCAGAGGGACTGCCCTAGTGTTGGCTGAGCCAAAAACTGTAAATAAATAGAAGTCTGGATTTAGTTTAAAGGAAAAGAAAATTAGAGCTTGATTGATTCCATTTATAAATTTCCTGTATCAGTGAGCTGCAATCAAGATTTTCTTTGAGGGTATTTTTCTTTGGTTTTATTCCGTTTCTCTCTAAAAAGAGGAGGGAATAGTTCAGGCTTATATAGAACCTGGCAGTGCTTTGCTTTAAAACTGATGGGATTCTGGATTTATAGAATAGGAACAGTCTGAAATCTAGCCCTCTGCATAGGTCAACTCAAACCTTGATGTTTCACTCAATACAAGAAACTGGTGGTGGGTTGTTATATGTTATGAGTCTCATGCTGTTTGTTTAATACTACTTCTTAAGGGAAAAAAGAGAGCTGCTGAGGGAATAAATCCCAGATGTTATTTCTTCACCAGTGGGGTATGACTCCAGGAGGAAGACGTTACTTGCTTACTCATAGCTCAGTCAAACTTTGTTTTATTTTATACACAAGTTTCCCTGACAGTTAAAGGAACTGCTAGCTAAAACTTCTGCAACTAAAAATTTCGGTGTTTTTTTTTCCTCTCTGTGTACAAAATACCACTGTGATTTTGAGTTTATTATTGTCCACGAGAAATGAAAATTGGAAAAACAGAGCTGTTCCCCAGGCTGAAATCCTGCTGCATAAGTTTTTTTGATCACCTTTTGCTTGTTGTAAGAGTTATGGCAAGAGTTAAGCCAAGTGCATTTCATACATTTGTGGTGTAGACTTAGAGGTTAATCCAAGGGGGAAGTCATTCAGGGGAAAAAGGTGTAATGGACTCCGAGCAAAATAAATACATTTATGTGCCTTATTGTTTTTCTCTTGAGAAAAAAATTATTTCAGCTTTAATAAAGTCTCTTATGCCTAAGAAAAGAGGTTCTTTACTGGATTTATCAATAAGAATTTCTCTAAGTTTTGTGTAAAAAGTATAAAGATGTATATAACTTCTGATTGTTAGGTCTGTTTTTTAGCTCTGTTCTTTTGCAAAAATATTGACAATATACATCTCATGTTTTTCCCCTTTTCTCTACACTGATGTAATTCATTTGCTACTGACACATAAACTCTTGTTTAGATTGGTGAGGGATATTTATTGGAAATGACTGCATTGAACAACGATCGGATGTATGAGAGAGGCTATTTTTTTTTATTATAGCAGCATCTAGAGGCCTCATCTGAAAGTAGGCTTCCTGTGCTAGACACTGAAGAGACAGCTGCCCAAAAGCAGTCCTCCCTACTCCAACAAAACCCCAATGCGCCTCAAAAAACAGGTAAAAGGCAGATGAAAACAACTATTCTTATTTGCCTATTGGAATAGCGAGGCAGATTAGCGCTTACAAATCTAGGTGACCTGTGTAATCTAGTGCTTTACGCATAATCATGATTATCCCAGGTGGATGTGATGGTAGCCTTAATCTTTCAGAAGGCCAGAAAAACGTCAGATTAGGCTAAGCATGTTTGATGGTGCATATAAACAGAAGCAAGATCTTGGGAAGGACAAGATTTTCTTCTTGAGAAACAGAGCTTTTTTTCTGATAAGTACATTTGTTAGTCAGGCAAAGACACAATGCCAAAGGCTGGTTTAGCTACAAACTCTTTTTAGGTAGGGTTTCTTTCTGGCTTGCCATTTCCTAAGTGTAAGGGATTGTAAAGTTGCTATGCTATATACACAGGACTCTTCTGTGAACTCTTACTTTGACCTGATGAGGATTATTTAGTCAACTATTTGAAAGGTGCTATTCACGCAGAAAAGCTTTCTCTGATTTGGGTAAGACCTTTGTTTCAGTAGTGACTGAGAATGGATAACTGTGCAGGCAGTGAAGTTTTCATGGTGACTATCAACCTGAGAAATGGGATAAATGCTGAAATAATGTTTCATTAGGACTTTTGTCTATTTCAGTGTAATTCATAAAAATGATCCTATATAAGAAATTCTGAAATTAATGTGGAGATTGAGAATAACTGATCTCAAAAACTTCTTAGAGAAGGGAACTAAAATTTGTCTTTGGCATAGAACTATGAAATTTAAATGATAAGTGTGACTGAAAGATGAAATTCAAGTTTGTGCTATAGTTGTAATTGTAGTGTAGCTGAGTGTCAGGGCTGTGCTGTGTACACACCCACTGTACTTAAGCCATTAATTTCATAGTTGTTCCAGGAACTCCCTCGTTAGTCACCTGCATAGAGGAGAATAGACTGATCTAAACCAGCAGACCTAGTCGAGACAATGTGACTGAACTGGTGGCCTTCACAACAAAGATTTTGACTAATTGATGCAGCAGCTCTCCAGACCAGAGATCCCGCAGGTAGCTCCTCCTGTGCCTACACCAGTTTGTACATTTCCATGTGTTGACTAAGAACCTGGCCATCCCAGAGACTCTCCAGGTGGTTCCTGCAATGGAACTGATCAAATTGACTATTTACAAGTGTTTTGTTTCGGTACAGTAGAAATCGTGTCTGCAGATGCAGAAATGGTCACGTAGCATAGTCTTTTGTACATAGTTATGCCAGCTGGGAGACATTTTGTGTATAATTAAAATTACTCAATAGCAGTGTGTCATGCATATACTGGATGTTCACACAGGACCGCAGGCCAATAGGATTATAGGATTTCAGTAGAACAACCATTTGGGGGAGTCTCGCCCAATCTCACTGAAGGCACTGTTGCAAAGATCCTTGCAACAGAAACTTACGTTGCCATCCGGACAGTGATCATCCTGTTTCTGAGATTTGATTCCCCTCACGAGCATCACGCTATGCAAAGATTCCAATAAGTTTTCTTTAATAGTCACTTATGCCCATGTCCTATGTCTCTGTCCAACGCTCTCACTGCTTTTGAATATCTACTCCAGTGTGGAATTTGCAATCACTAGCCACAGTGGCAAAATAAACATAGTGAAAGACAGCATGGAAATTACATGTTAAATGGATTAGGCCTCACATGAACCGAAGGCGTGTGTCCTTACCCAAGTATCCTTTCTTCCCAAGGGTAGATCACTGTGTATAGTTACAGGTAAAGGAGTACAAAGAACTATCTAGGGTGTAGAGCCAGCTCACTAAAACCTTATTCTGCACAGTTGGAAATGAAATTTATTTGTGCAAGACTTGAATGGCATGAGAGAAGGCTAGAGATACTGAGATTTCACACTGTACAGTTATTGATAACTCATTATGATGTCTTCATGTAAACAGCCCAGATGCTTTTGGTAATTGTGTATGTGAATTTTATTTGTGGATGCGAAAATGAAAGGAATTACTTCCCAAAGGGGTGGGTGGGGGGGGGGTGGAATGCAGAAACGCCAAGTCATTTTATGTGAACAGAGTCATTGCTGTTCAGTCAGATACAATAATTGCTTTAATTCTGAAATTAATTTAAGTTACCTGGATTTGGTTTTCCAGTTTGATATTGTCTTGAATTGAAAAACCTGAAATAATAAAGATTAAGCGCGGGTAAAAATTCATGTTCATGTTCTGTAGGTTAACAGAGGTTAGACAGCAGTGCTGGCCATTGTTTTATGCTGAAAAAACATACAGGCCAGATTCTCGGCTACCATTGTATGTTTTCAGTAGGACTATAGTAATTTAATTGACAAAGGGTTTAGTTAGAAGTCACTACAAAATTCATGTCCTTATACAGTTTCCGACTCTGATGTTATGCTGTTCTTGATTATTCTTTGCTTGACCCTTGTAAACTTTGTTTGGACCATACTTTACCTTTAGCAACCACTTAAAGTAACAAATCAGTCAGATAATTGATAACGTTTCCTGGAAGACAGGTGCTTTTCGCAGTCTTTAGCAAATTTGCCACAGCCATGATTATCCATGAATAATATGGATTAAAAAATAGTTAAGGCAAGCAATCAGAGTCAAAAAGAAATCCAAAAAAGCCCTAAGGCAATTAAGTGCTCTACCCAGTTAACTTGGTAACAAAATAGTGTTAAATTTTCACTTAATTCCTGTTATATTTAGCAGTTTTGGAATGTACTCCTACTTGTTCATAAGGTGTGTTCCAAGTAGATGTGGGGAATATTTGAATTTTTTTTTTTTTTGGAAAGCTTTTTTAATTAGTTTCAGGTATACAAGATATGATTAACAGTTTGTAGAGCAGTAATTAACTTTTAACAAGTCTATGTAAAAAATCAGCAGAATAGAAAATGAAGTATAGAAGTCAGACTGATAGAGACCTATTAGATCATTTTAACTGTTCTTTTGGAATTTACAAATAAAAAAGCTTACTCTTGAATTATTGGTGTAAGCTGAGTGCCAAGATCTTCACAGTGAAACCATTTTTCAAAGAGGACGTTAGTTGATTCTCCAACATAGTACCTGAGAAATAAAAACATTGGTCAATCTTTTTATTAACTAACTGATCAGGCAGTTTGAAGAAAATAGCTACTTCATGCGTGCAAATATGGAATTACTATGATACTCTCAAGCCTGCTATACTCTACTCTGAAGTATGCTTTTTTTTGGGAGGCTGTGTATTCCCCTCATCAGCTGACCTGTGGGTAAGGTGCCTTAAATGTCCATCTAGGCCCTGCAGTTTTGCTCAGCAACCATGGATAAATCACTGAATCCCTTTAGCAAACTTTTAGGATTTAATTTTAGAAACTGAGTTGGGCCATAACCCTTTGGGACTACTAACTTTCACTTGTTAGCTTGCTTATTGCCCATGCATGCTTTGATTGAACATACAGTGGCTTGTTTGCAAAAGTTTGGGTGGTTCTTCAGTTACGTAAGTTTGGGAAGTATTATTTAGTTTGCTCCGCTGCAGAGGAATCTATTGCTTCACTTGCATTATTTTATGTCTCAACAAATAAATAAACAGTGCTGAGATCAACAGATCAAGCTTGCTGTAATCTATGGAATAGCAAATATGAACTTTACCTAGAGATTCAGGAAAATATGACTTCATGGACAGGCAAGGAACTGATCTTCCAGTACATCACTGCAAGTGATTGCAGACAGGTCCTATGTTGTCTTTGGGTTAAAGTGACTGGAATTTGTGTTTCAAGAGGGAAAACAAGGCTTATGATTATACTGTGCATGGGTGTGTATTTGTGTATTCCTATCTGTCTTATGTATGCATATCGATATTGTCTGAAACTTCTCATGAGCTCCCCATTTCCTCACGTTTTCCAAAAACAGGTTAGTCAGGTAGAATAGTGACTTTGTTAATGCCTCCAATATGGAAAAGGCTGCAATGTGAGCACAAATTTTGAGTGCCAGAGAATCTACAGAGAAGAGAGATGTTACAAATGTCTCAGATAGGAAAAGAGTTTAGGAGGACTTTGCACTTTCCCCATCTCTCCTAGGAGCACACAAAAAGCCAGTGCAGCCCCAAAAGTACAAAATGATTGTTCACTTCCAAAATTTCAGGTGCCTTTATTCGCAATGTTACTATGAAAACACAGGCACTAAGAACCTTGAAGTGCTTTATTTTCAGGTACCCGATTAGATATTTTCAATTAAGTGTGTGCTTTGCAATACAATTATTTTTTTCCCCCTGAAACTCAGATGGTTTCAGACAGCTGTCTGACTATGTAGGAAGGTGGTAAGTCTGCACTGTTCGTGAGTGCTACAGATTTCTTACCTGCATTTGGGCGAGTCATTGTGGTTTCTAGTTAGTTTAGTATCTGTATGAGAGCATGACTAAATCAGACTCCAAATTCCTAGACCTGCCTGGGATCCTTAAAAGCCATTCAGCATCTCCTTAACTCATACATTCACAAACTTCATATGCAAGACAGAAGTTTATTTTAAAGTTACCTAAAGCTACTTATGTTTCCTCAGTACAAATAAACATGGTTTTTTTCTGAGTCACTGATCAATTGTTTCGATCCCTAAATATCTTTTTAATAATGCAAGTGCTCGTGATTCAAAGAACTACTATGAAAGAAAAGAAAAAAGGGACAAATGCACAGAACAATGTTTCAAATGAATTAAATTTATCTTAGCTTGCAATCTATTCAGGTGACTTTTTGAACGGTCCCTTTCGCACTTCCTCATTTCTTTTTTTAGCCTCTTTGTTTGAATATAAAAATATTTTTCTAGCTCTGCAAATTCACGATCTGACTGCTGTGACATGTTCCACGTAAAGTTCAAAACTGTAGGCAAAAGGAAAAAAGTGGTATACTAGAGAGATTACTGTACTTTTAAGCCTTTATAGATTACATGAGTAGCTGTAACTCACTTTGGTCAGTCCTATCCAGATAATACCAAAAGAGCTTGTCTAACTCAGTTGTCACTGCAGTGACTTGCCTCCTTAGACTTAAAAATTCTGTATGACCACAGAACAAGGCTCAGTCCTGTTCCCACTAAAATAAAAAATAAAACTTGTATTTATTTGAAGATATCATTCTCATAAGGCAATTAAAGCTAGGTGGAAGTGTGTACCGTATAGAGGGGTTAGTGTTAAGAAAATTGACTTTTGTTTTTAATTTTCAATGCACTTGTCAAGAAAGCTCTTCTTCATCTTTTTGTTTTTAGTATTTACACAGAAATGGATGTTCTGCTTGCCAAAATTGACCGGAAATCTTTTTTGATCGGTGTTGTTATGGAACTCTGAGATTTTAAAATTTAAGGTGGTAGTAGTAGACAGCACATAGGTACCTAGCTATGACCACAGCATACATTTAAAGACATTTCAACATGTTGCTTGTTTGACTAAACTAAATGCTAAATGAGCTCTCTATTTATATACATATAGATAAATACATGTGCAGACAAAATTACTATAGAATTGCTGGCATGAATCGTAAAAATGATCAGGAAAATAAAATACAATATTGTACTGAAATTATGAATCCTAATAGATTAACCAACAACTTATACTTCACCTGAGCCCATCAATTTCTGTCTTTAATCTTTCCCTTTCAATCACAAGACCCACAGTGTCTGCATATCTCTGGGGAGAATGAGGTATCCTAGCAGGTAGGAGAAACATCTGTTCAGACAAAGAAATGAGAATCTGTGTTAGACAGACATTGTTCTTTGGGTTGTTCCTTTGCCCTTCCTCCCCCAAAAGTCCTCTGTACGCTCTCCCACTTTTCTCCTTCTCCTTGTTAATACGGTGTTGCTCCTGTGCAGCTGAGCCCACGTCCTGTAGCACCAGCCAAGCACATGCTGTTTCTAGCTCTCAGGCTGGTGCTGTGTGAATGCTAGCCATCGATTCAGCAACTGGCATTGCCTTTGTGGCAGTGAGGGCTCTCCTCCCAGTTTCGCTATCATTGCTAGCCGCAAGTAAAATCCAACCAGTCACGCTATCAGGAATCTAGAACATTACTGGAATTTCTGAGCAGTAGAAATTGAAGTTGAAAGAAAGTTTGTTGCCAGCTCAAAATTTCTAAACTAATTGCCCATGTGTATTCCTCCAGCACAGCAAGTATTGGATAGTTAATAAATATGATGGGATGCTTATGTAAGTGAGAGAAAGGGAATAATGATGGTTGGTTGGGGGAGGATGTCTACTACCGTCTTTTTCTAACAGCTGTCTGACTATGTAGGAAGGTGGTAAGTCTGCACTCTTTGTGAGCGCTATGGATTTCTTACCTGTGCTTGGGCAAGTCATTGCGGTTTCTCTGTCTGTAAGGCAGCACTAATGATACTGCCTCACTACAATATTGCCAGTCTTCTCACTAAGGACACTGCGTGTTTCCTTTCGTTAATGTTTCTGGTACATGCCAAGATCTCACATAGATGCGCTTCTGAAGTGTGAAGTGCATTATCAGAATTTCCATGTTTATTGGTTTGAAACCTTAGATTTGTTTCTTCATTGAAAAGGTCATGTGCTTCTTTTAGTGACATCAAGCTATTCAGACTAGTGTATATCCTTCCTTTTAAAAGCTAACCTCATTACAGCTAATACTTAATTCTTTCAAAGACTGAATGTAGTTCAAGCTAGTGACAGTAATAATGAACGGTAGCAGTAGCACAGCTAATACCTTGTAGTAAGTTCTTATGCTCAAGTAAAACATCTAGCTAGACTCGTTAGTAGCATTGAAATGTATGTTTTAGGAAGTCTTCCATTATAAGAAAAACTATTTGAATATTAGATTGAATATAGCTGGATATATTTTTTGCATAAATAGCTGTTTTAAACATGTTCTTGTGTTGTGAAGGCTAGCTGTGAGGATGAAACAAGATGGTTGAAACAGCTAAAAAATCTTTAAATTGTCTATGTTCAAGTAGTTTATCTTAAGGGAGCGTAGGGGAGAGGGGCAGTATTAACCGGGCAGCACGTTTTTTTTAAAAAAAAAAAAAAAGTGATCTACTTTAATTAGCTTGAAGTCACATTGCAGATTCTGTGCCAAGGTGGAGAACAAGAACTCTTTCTGGTTTGCTCCTGACTCATTTTTTTGTAAACTGGCATCAGAAGGTGGGATGCTCATTCAGGTATTTCTGCTCATCACTGAAATGTTGAACAGACAGGGTGTATTGCAGTTTGCTTTGAGTGACAGGGAGTTTGCAATACTGAATTCTCTTCTATCCTGGTGCCATCTCTCACACAGCAGTGATTAAACTGATTTTGAAATAATTAATACTCATTTAACATATCTATGTGCAACAGTAACAGAAAAAGAACCCCGTTTTACCTCCCCTTCTCGGATGACAATGTCTCTGTGGTTCCCATTTTCAATTATCTTCAAACACATATGTCCTTTCAGTTGGTAAAATAACTGAAGGAACAGGAAAAGCAACATTAAAGCAACCACTACAAAACGGTCTATACAGTTTCTATTTTTCTTCATGTTCTGTACATGAAAATCGCAAAGATATTTAGTCTGTGATTGCAAATATTTATAGAGATTTTTTTCTAACAGCCTCAGTTGCTTTCGAAAATATTACAAAGTATGTATTATCTGTATTATCCCCACACATTTGCAAATCTATCCTGGAGGTCCTTGGCTGCTTAAGGAGCTCTTCTGTGAACCCTGTGGAGTTCCATTCTGCTGTCTTTGCTCCTGGGGACTACTCTCTGTAGGGCTGGGACTTTAATTCATTAATTGCACTGTACTCAAAATTGCATTTTTGTCGTTTTTCAGTTCAGTTGTAGCAGGGTCTTCACTGTTACATTCAGTGAAATTAAATGTCGGTTTTCCAGCTAAACTCTGACTATGCCCAGTTTTTTTGGGTGCATGTTTTCATTTTTAATATGTTTTCCTACGTGGGAATTCTTGTCCATTTACAACCTATCTGCTTTATTGTGGATACTTTCGAAGCCGTGCAGCAGCTGCTCCTCTTGCTGCTGTGTATATAACAGGATTATGGCCTAAGCTTAGGTAAGGACAGAACCACTGAACCCATAATTCTTTCTTCAGTGACCTTTTCACAATCCTGCTATTCCCAGAGTATATAATCCCAGAGTAGCTTTGTGGGGGCCCTCAGGTGCTCAGACCTAGCCTCCCGTTTCATGGCAGAACTGTGCTATTATCTGTAAGCAGGTTCCTTTTTGACCTGGAATAATGAGCACAATTTTTCTCGTTCAATATAAAACAGAGCAATAACACTTTAAAAAGCCAAATTTACTTTGTCTATTCTGCCGCTCTCTGCCAAGCTTCTGTCTGCTTTGTGTGTCCTGTTTGTCACATCTAGAAATGAAACAGATTAATTCATGCAGTTGTTAGTGTAGCTGAAATTATCTCAGGCCTGATTATAAATTAGAACTATAATGAAAATAATCTTATTTATAATCGTTCACTACAATTTTAGCAAACTGGAAATAAAGCAGTGAACAAATATAAGGAGAGGAAGGAAAACAGCACCAAATTCATACAAACCCTGAATCAAACTTTTTCCAATATTAGAAAAGCTTAATCATTTTCTGAAATCAAAGTTATTTGCAAAGCAGTTGCACGATTGATACACACCTCTGAGACCTCAAGGAACAGCATTATGAACACAAGAATAAATATACTGCCAAAGGAATGGAACGGTAGAGAGAACTGAAAATGAGGTACTGGAAAAGAGCTCATGCTGAGAGCCCTTACATGAGCAAAGAGGCTCACCTTGTGATAGGGACATCACTGTGGATAAATTATAACTCTTGTCCAGATGGCCACAGTGTCAGGCTATTTATTCTTCTCGCTCTCCACTTTCCTGTGTTCTTTTCCTGTCATTTTCTCTGGTGCTACTGAGAATGACTGACTGACAGAATGAATGACTGTATTAAATGCTACAGTAGCCCTTATTACAGACTACCTCAGGCAAGGCTGGCTGCTCATTGTACAGCATAAAATGATTTGAGTGGAGAATTGCTGTCTCTTTCCTTTCAAAAAGAGTCATCTTATCTAAGAACGTAAGATTCTGACACTGATTTTCACAGAGGCCCTTGGTAATAAGGCACTGGCAATGCAGAAATTGAAAGATCCTTTCTGCAGTGCTGAGTTTTGTAGTAGTATATATACCCTCTAACTACTACTCCTGAGAGCGCTATTACTGAACACTTGCACAGGTATGTTGATGAGGGAAAGGATGAGGATCTAACAACGGAGGGAGAATTTATGCTGCTTGTGACCATGAATCACATGGATAAGCATCTTTCTGCGAATAAAAGATGGGGGTGCGGAGGGCCATTCAGCTCAATAGCAGAGCATCACAGTCGTAAGGAAAGATGCTTAACACAATACTGAATACTGAATTAAAATAACTGTGTTGTAGTTGGAAAGGAGGAGTGAGGTGGGCTGCAAATTGCGAATGAATGTTTTTCTATCTGAATGTAAATACTACCTTCCAAACTTTTTTTTGAAAAATGTCTGAGTGTTTGTCATCCATAAATTATCTGATGTCACTGTGATGTATACAAGTGGCAGTAATTATTCAATCTACTGCTGTGCTTATGCTCTGAACTTTTATTGAGAAAATTATTTCTCTATTGAGAGACTGTTTAATGTCTCAATGAGTTATGGTCTGTGCCTACTTCATAGGACCATCTAGTAACACAGCATTCTAGTGTCTTTTTATTGGAATGTTATTTTTTTCTAAATGCTTACTGAACTTTGCATTGTGGGCAGATCTAACCATTTCCTAAGTATCCCCTCAAAAAAAACCAAGACCTGAGTAAGGAAGCACTGGGGTGTGTGTGTGTGTGTGTGCTTGTATACCTATGTACCTATATACGTGTGTGAGTGCATGTGCCTGTGTGAGCATGTATACAGTAAGGCAGAAGTAGTAAAGCTGTCCAAAAATATAAGCTTTCCTAATTGGTTTGTTTTTACTGGGGTAATGGATTTGGTATCTGTTCTCCTTGATAGTGTTATCCCCAAAGAAGGGTTCTTTCACCCAGTGTGCAATGAGCTGAAAAACACACAGCTGAGATACTTGTGTAATTCATTTCTGTGCAGAGATGGGTGCTGGGTCAATAGTACTAAAAGTTGAGGAAATCTATATAACATTTTTACTCTGTTAGCATTTTATTGATGGCATAATGCTTCTTGCTATATGTAATAATAGCTGTATCCTTGCAGAAAAAAACTTACAAATTGTACATCACTACTGCATAACAAGTCAAAATCAAGCAAGATTTGTCTTTCTGGATGAAGTATATGGCTGAAGGAAGAAATGAAGTTCAGAAGTATTTTCATCCCTCTTATTATGAAATATGCTTATTTATAAATATTTTCTTTGACTTTATACAATTTATTCTTTTCTTCATTGTCTCTTTCCCAGACCTTTGTCTTTCTTCTAGCTTTCTTACTTATTATGTGGCACCTTCCTGTATTACACTAAAAACTCCTCTGCCTCCTTATTAATTCTCATCTGACCTCTAAAAGTTATAAGCCACCTAGAAGTCATTCTTTATACGAAGCATAAAATTTTCAAAATTGCTGATTGCTGAATGCCTCCATTAAAAGCTGCAGATATACGTCTGAAAACGAAATTGAAAGCCCCTCAAGACTGAGACAATTTTTTTTTTGTCCAAGTTCTCTTAAATTCTTCTTATTATTGTAGGAGAATTGCATTTTCCTTCCTGTGTTTGCCTCACCCTTATTCATCATGCTTCAAACCATACAGTATTGTATTAAGCTGCAATGAGAGGCAGCATGGCCAGTGCTAAATCACTATCAAGTCTATAGAGAGGTATTTCACCCAGTTATGCAGACTGACTGGCCCTTGCAGAGAAAAAGGGCGGCAGTGCAGAGAGGTGGGAGTTTACGTTTCCCTTTTGTATATGAGTCACAGAGGTTGCTTGTCTTGGACAGATCATTTTCCTGGGGGAGTAGAAAGTATGGATACTTTGCCTTTAAAAAAGCAGTGTCATCCCCGCCATATTAAGGTTGTGGGAACTGTAATAGTCCTTTATCCAGATATGTGGGTCCTAACAGAGTAAAGAAGGAAGCATGTAGGAGGGGAACTCATCTTTTTAAACTGGATTACTGATGCCAATTAAAATATAAGTTCGCTTCTATTTTACTTGCAGCATTGTAGTGTAGGCTTTGCTAATTTAGATACACCTTTGACATCAAACAGTGCCTAGATGTAGTAGCCCAGGGCTCTGTGCTGACTCTTGTGGCTGTGAGCTTGCATGGACTTCTAAAGATATCTGCAATTTGCAGTGCACTTTGAGTGCTGCCTCTGAAGGTGGAAGTTGGGATTTCTCAGCCCCTTGTGGGATTAGGCTCTGACTCGGCATATTGCTTGTCATTGCCTTGTATTGCCTGTCAGATTGTTAAGCACTGAATCAATTTGCAGAGTAAATCAAATTCTGATATGGGAGTAGAGTTTGGGTGTTCTCCAGACTTCAGTAGTAACTGATCTATATGAGCACAGGAAAACAATTTTCTCCCTTTCTCATCAAAAGGTTTTTTTAGCCCTCAGAAGTCTGGAAGGCAAGCTGATGAGGAAGGCAGAGAAAACTCTGTGTGTCAGGGGGAGGGCAGGTGTTCTGCTCATTTGCATCAGTCACCTGTGAAACGTGTATCGGTGCCAAGACTCATCCCAACACTTTTATGTGGCAAACTTACTTCCGAAGGTGCAATCTCCTTCTGATGCAAAAGGATCGCCACTCTTGTTGCTCTGTATTAGATGTTTTTTTTAATTTAAAATACGTAAAGAGTTCTCAGATTTTTGTGTTTTTTGTTTTTTGTGTTTTTAAAAAGTAAAGGAGCAAAAAGGTTTCACACTTTTAGCTAAGAGATGAATGCTACAGTACCACCTACTGGAATGCTCATCCTGTTCCCTTTTCCCCCTCCTTAGGCATTCAAGGTCCCCCATACAATATGAAGGGAGAACTAACTTCTGAGTCTCTCAAAGCGTGCTGAATAGAGAGCAGAATAAGCCAGAGGAAGGGGCTAGGCTTTATGTAAGCTGGTGATTAGTCAGAAATTGGAGCCAAGTCCCATTTGTGTTGTGTATGTGATGGGGTGGGGAGAATAAAAAGAGAAGTCAAAGCTCACATTAGAAAACTTAGATCACCTGTGGCAGATGTGACTTCAAATCTGTATCATGTTTCAGAGCAAGACTTCATATCTCAAGTAGATGGTGTGGAAAATATACACAGACAATGTGTATGGATATGATATGATGCAGGAAGCTGAAAGGATTGGCCAAGGTGTTCAGAGAAGAGGGAATTTCTGCTTTGAGAATCCTTTTTAGGGCTGCAGAGTAAGGGCTCCAGCCTATGCCATTGTGTCAGTACTTAGGTGGCTGCATGTACATCCATAGGAAAAACCTAGGTGCTGTGAGCACTTAGGGTAAAATCTATACAGCACAATAACAAGCAGGGCTTCTAAACCTCAGTGGAATATCAGGCTAATGCAAATGTGTTGCAGGTGGCAGATTAAAGGCTGATTTGAATTCTCTGCATGGAACTGCACTGTTTTACGTAGATTCAACATCAGGTGCGAAGAGAACAGAAATTGTTAAGAAATCAAAGGTGGTAATTTGAAACTCATTGTGCTTAAGTGGTAGACTGAAGTGAGTAAAGATTCAGGAGCCCTAATTACTTTTGTGATCCTAGATTTCACTGTAAGCATATTCCATCTTCCTCCAAAGCAACCCATACAATTCAGTAAAATAAAATCTGAAATCATTTTTACTATAGTTAAGCTTTGCTATGATCATGGTGTTTATCTGCCATTAACTTCCTCCAAAACCAGCCCCTTCAGTTGTCACTTTAGACATTTCTGGGAAGTTATATGATGAATTTGTAAGATAGGATTACAGCTTTTTTCCCATTCATGTTTTGCAAGTAAGCTAAAACGCTAGTAAAAATACCATGAAATCTGTGAGCCTTAACTATTCTTGTCACAAACGTTCTGGCATGATGAAAAAAAGAGCAAGAGACAAAAGTATGTCTAGGGCTCTTCCCTGGTACCTGGAACATACCTACAAGGAGCTGAGCACCTTATCAGGTCTGCCACAGATAACTTATTTATAAATTAAATAAGTTTATTTATAAAATGTGTTATTTATAAAATCTGTATGATGTAAAACAGTGTCCCAAGCATAGGAGACAGTACCTCTGTGCAGAAGGATGGCAAACAAGGAGTACTGAACAGAAAATGACAATGGAAGAAAATGTCAAGTTAAATTCTCGGGAAGCTCCTGCTAGCTTAGGGCAGGAAAAAAATTGTTTGAGACTAGCCACTGTTTTAGTCTCACTTAAATGTTTAGGAGACATTTCTCAAAGGGCTTGAAGAGATTCCAAATTTAGCCTCCAGTTTTTCTTATAATTAGCCAGTCAGAACAGATCTTCCCAATACACCTGCACTTTAAAGGCTCCAGCAGAGAACAGTTTGGGAATGGGAAGACCTTCCTAAGTCCTCATCTCTACACGTGAACCCCTTGCTGCTGCAAACTGCGGGCTGACAAGCATTAGGCTAGCTGTGCTACAGGAGACGTGATAAGCCGTGTGTGATCACGGGCCTGAAAAAAATGACTGAACAGCTATAAACAATCCTAAAATTAACTTTCTTTTCCAAACCAACTTTTTTCTCTGACAGAACAATACCGGTAGGATAGCATCACCAAAAGGATTGTGGGTTTTTGCCTTCATGATTTGGCTTGTTAACAGGATTCCTATATTTGGGGCTTCAAATGATCTCTTAGAACTAAAAATGACCTTTTGCCTGCCGAAATAATGAGCTGAACTGAGCAGCTCATATACAGCTAAACAGCTAAAATTATTATCATCTTATTTGTTATTAATGAAATATCAAGCAGAAAATACATTCTATCATTTTTATTTCAGTAGCTCTGAAAACTAAGTTCATTATAGGTTCATTACGGGAAATGACAGACTATAGAGGGGAAGGATGGGCTTGCAGTGATAAATAGCAGTCTGCGTGTTTCTTGCTTTCTGGCACAGTGGGAGAAAAAAACAATCAAATCCAAGTCTAACTTGGGAATATGCTCTTTTATTGGGAAACTTTGTGCCTTGCCAGTCTTCTCTAATGAAAAGACATGTATTTAAAAGATTAGTTAGATCACAGGAACGTGCAAATGCATCTGGTAAAATCCTATGGTAAAGTGCAGCGTGTGACTACGCCCAATCTACATAAAATCAGACAAAAAGGGCCAACACCTCACACCAGCACTTCTGATGTGTATATTGCTAATTCTCTTATGTTATAGGAGTGCAAATGAGATCCATGATGGGAATTTTACAATTACAATTCCATAATTCCATTTGTGATCACTAAGTAATTGCGGGGAAAATTACTATGTATTAATGTATCGATACTTAATTTTTTGATACATAGCTGGATGCAGCAGCACAGTAAATTTTCACTAATGCTTATATGAATCATGCCTCTACTAATATGACTAACTTTTTGTGTTGTTGGAAAATCATATAATAGAATTAGACTTATTAAAGGTTCGTCAAACTCCTCTCAAACACATGAAGATCTTGCAAAAAAACAAAACAAAAACAAAACAAAACCACACCTGACCAAAATGGTGGTAATCTTACTTTCATTTTAAGGGAATGAGAGGACAAATTTTGAAAACAAAACAGGACAGGAACTGATTAAAGACCAAACCTATGCAGGATGAACTGGGAGATGTAGGGAGGGATGAGATGGTAAAGATATGCCTGGCCTGACAGCCGATGGTGGCCTGTAAGACTATTATGGCAATGCAGTGTTGGCAGGAGTCAGAACAGTGAGAAGCTAGCACCTGCTCTTTCAGAACAGTACAGGTACAATGACTAGAAATACTATATTATACAATTATAACAGAAAATGAATAAAAGTTTTTGTGAAATTTTTTTTTGTGAGAAATGATTCAATGCTAAGTAAATACAAAATTTTGTTTCTTTTTAAAAGTAAAGATTGAACTTGACTCACATCTGCCTTGAACTGTGCAGATGTTTAGTCCTGGATTTTCAAAGGTACTTAGAATTAAGTGGCCCAATTCTGTTAGAATTACATGAAAGTTAATTATTCTGCAGAGAAGCGAGGACAATTTTCTCCCACCCTGAAATCTTTTATTTCCAGCCTTCACTTTCTCCTTTCCCTTAGGGTTCATTCAGAGCCAGCTGTGATATCTCTGTACGAGTACCGCAGAGAAGTCCTTAGGGCTAGCTGACAACTTCTGGGATAAAGGCAACACAAAGCAGATGTAAATTTTGATAGGTTTTTACTCTTTGTATGTATATCCTGCGCTTGGCCCAATGGCTCAAAGCAGTGAGATGCAGGCTTTCTTTTGATACAGAAAATGTGCAGAAAAGAGGGTTGTTTTGAAAAATATTTAATGATTCCACTCTTATCGTTCCAAAACTGAATGAAAGCTGAAAATGCTGATATTTTTCATGAGCAAAAAGTCTAGAAAAATGTAACTTCAGGCCAATCTAAATATTTAATTTTCATTTTGAATTTCACAATTGCTCTTTTGAAATACAGATCTTCTATAACAAAATATGACTTTAAGAACATCCTTTTCTTTCCAAAGTTTTGTTCCAAAATGTTGAAATGAGACATTTTGATGCAGTCAGAACATTTTCTCTAGCTTCCTGTTGAAAATGAATTGTAGGAAAATAGATCTGATATCATCAAGTGTTTGTTTCAAAGGAAGAGCACAGATGGTGCACGGTTCTGTTTAAATCTTTGAATAGCTCTAATAAATACAACACCACTGAGCTCAGCATTGCTAATCGGTAGCTGTAGTATCAAAAGTAGCTGCATTGTAATCATACAGATCAACTAAAACAGCAAAACGTAAATAACTTATAGGTTACCTCTTCTCCTTCTTCAATATGATAATCTTTCCTTTCATTTGGCCCCCCAACAAACATCACATTTAATTGATAGCGATGCCTAGAAAAGAAAAATGGTATTTTAAAGCTGCCTCTGCTCATGGCATTCTTTATTGCACATAAAGTTCTTTTTTTTTAAAAATGCTTTGAGAACATTTGTGAAACTGACTGGTAACTGATGGTAACTCTTTGGTAACTCTTAAGACACCCAAAGAGTGCTTCCCTTGGTCACAAAGACTAGATAACACCCTTATTATCTACCAGAACACTGGCACTGAGGTAAGGCAGCAATTTTTCATTTGCTGTGTGTGGCAAAAAGCCCTATAAGCCAGGCCGGTTAACTATGATCCGCAATTTCCTAAATCTCACTTTGACATGCATGCTGAAGGATGTCGACTCCTATTTTTCTCAGTGAGGAGATTCTGGGTGATACGGTGGCTAACGGGAGATCTTAGTGACACAGAAGCAGTGGAGCTATGCTCCCCTGCAACGCAGGGGATGGCAGCAGAAAGCCACAGAGGGAGGGAAGACCAACTTGCCTCTTCGTCAGCACCTTGTAAGCCTTAGTTGAGAGAGTATGAATTATTCTGAACTGCTGAACACATATGTTTGCTCTGCTACCATAATCATGTTTACTTCAAAGAGCATTTAAATGATACTGAGCAACGCAGTAGGGGTTAGTAAAGAAAAAATAGTAAGTAACATTGACAAACATTTCCTTGGTCAAACAAAAGCCTACAGAGTTAAATTAGACTACAATACTTAAATTGGCCGTTGTCACTGTAGGAAGCTGTATAAATTATGGCACTTCACTTCAAGCCAACATTCCATAAGAAGGAACTGAAATCACAGCTGTTTGTACCATGAAGATTTAATATTCAATTTTCAAAGATACACTGAGATGCTTTTGCATTAATGAACCTTTCAAGTAAAGCTGAGCAGGAAAGCCAGAACTGCAGCAACATAGCTAATAATTCATAAAATATAGCAAAATGAAAGCTGAAGAATACAGTAAGAGAAAGGTAATCTATGAATATCTTGTAACCTACTTTTAAGATGAGTTCATTTGATAGAAACTTCTGTAGTTTACTCAAATGATTAATTTTATTAGTTCAATAATTAAAAAAGAAAAAAATTGCCCTCAAATTGTTGTTGTTAAAAATTTTTTTGCTAAACTATTTGGCAGATCTACCATTAATTCTGTTACCTTATGTGTTTAGCTTAGTTCTATATAATAAACAGATAACTATGGGTTAATTATTCCAATCATTACCAATTATATAACGAGATTATCAAAAAATTCCAGCTACCAAATACAAACAAGAATTCCAAGAGGTCTGTTTGTCCATACTGTTAAATAAAGTTGCCTAGTTAACGTAATTGCATATAGCTAAGAAGAAAACTCAAACCGTGTTTCTTCCTTGTGATTTTAGAGGTGTATGCCTAATAGTTTGGCAAATAATACTCAGTTTGCAGAGTGTCCTAAAGGCTTCAAGGGTGTGGAAATGACTTGATTGCATTATTTTATTTTTACATTGAGGTACTAATCAATGTACTATTTTTTGAAGTTTTACATACTCTTGTATTTCTCTTCTCAATCACATAAATAAAGCGTTATCAGCAGGCAAGGTTTTTAAAACCTCTCAAAATCATGAAGAATCAGATATCCCATGACCACAGAGAGGTATCTTTATGATAAGTATCATATTCTGGAATGCTAAGAGCAGCTTTAAAAGTGCCATTGCTGCACTGTAAAAATCTGCTGTGTCAAGGTGTCTGATTTTGCACTGACTGCCCTTCTAGTAAGTACTTAAACTTGCAAGATAACGTGATTAAAATACATACAGTTAAATTGCAGCTCTTACATTGTATCCTTTTCTTGACTTTGGTAAAATTCTAAGCAGATGGTGATCAAAAATTGAGATTTTATTATGAAATCCCAAAAAGGTATTTAAAACTTTTAACGCTCTCAACAGTTTAAAGGAGAACTGAATGAAAGTTTGAAAGTCCTAACAAATGTAGAGACCAAAAGTCCTATTGATTTGCTGTACGATCTAGATTTGAACTTTTCATTCTCTTTTGAAACTTAGGATCTTAAATTACTTAGATGTTTTGAAGTGGCTGTTGTCTTGTGATATAGGAGGTAGTGAGATGATTGCTTTATACATCTGTACTCAGTACATAAAAGACCAAAGCCTCTGAAAAAGAAGTTAGAAATCTATTAGTCACTTCTTGGTAAATTGCCTGAAACCTTTTGCAAAAGCCTGAAAACATTTTGATAGCACCAGGAGCAGGTGGTGAGAGATTCAGAATTCATATAGTAGATGATTTTTCTCTTCTTTACAGGCAGAAGTTACACTGAAGACATGGGTTTTTTTTTTTTTTTTGAAATCTATGCAATTTTTATCATGAAAAATGTTCCCTGTTTCAGTGTGGCTTATAGTAATGGCTGTGGGGAAGACTTGTCACTACTGACTGTTTAGGGATCTAAGTGACCTTCTAACCTCCGACAGGTCTCATGTTCCAGAGAAATTTTACTTCAGGATTGCACAGAAGTGCTGTCAGGGGGTACAGAACAGTGCAGTAATAACAAAAAGGTTTATTTTACTGATAAATGAAAATATGAATATTCAAAATACTGTAAAATGATAGAATTGTACATGACCAGCTTTGGTAAGCTTTAGAAATGGCTACACTTTAGAAAATGCTTGCAAAAACGATTCTGAAAATGAAAGAAATGAAAGCACTTGCAAAGAGAAGACGCATTCTTCATTGTCGCCGGTGCGAAACAATCGGAGCGACACAAGTCTCGTGCTTTCTCGGTTGGAATATACAGCTGTAGGTTCAGCATAGGCCTCTCACTAAGGATGTGTCCTTTACCTTGCTTTTGTCTTGCAACCATTATTTTGAAAAGCAAACACTTACACCTGCGAACGGAAATTAGTATCACTCCTACAGTAGAAGATATGCCCATTCAGCTTTTGAATAGCACTTCAGTGCAGGGCAACGGGCATCTCCTTTGCTGCTTTTTCTGTAACAATTTTTTTTTGCACTTTGTTTTTAAACAAATATCAGTGTACATAACCCAGTTGTCATATTATTCTTTCTAGTGAGAAGCCTTTCTTATGAAAATCTCGCGTATATTGAGAGTTTTGGACAAAATATGTTGACCTCTACATCACTGACAAATCCTTGCTAATATTATGACTAGAAGGAGCCACCCACTGGATAATTTATACTGCAAGTTATTTATGAGCTTTGACACCGAAAAGATGCATTTTAGAAAACTGCATAATGCCCACCCTTTTTTCTTATATGAGCTGTCACATTCAGGACAAAGTTTATAGCTCTGAGGTGCTCTCAAGCATTGCCTCATCAGCCTCTCACTGAACAGAGTCCTACCCTGCCTCCTGGACAGCTCTGGAAGTGCCCTGCTGCTCTTCCAGCACCCCTCCCCTTCCATATCCTTAAGTGATATGACCTGCTACTTTTGATTGTATATTTTGGTCCTCTGTACTGCTGGAATGACTCTCAGCAACTTGGGCAGCTGTTTCAAGGTTGTAATATGGTAGCATCAATTTGTAAGCTAAATCTTAAACATTTGTGGATGGGATGCCATCTGATCAATATGATTTTATTGTCACAGGGCCTGAAACAAAGTCCCTTGAAATCAGGCCTGTTGCCTACAAGAGGCTTTGAATCATGACAAACATTTTATATTCAAGTTGATCCTTAGCAGCTTCTACGGAGTTACTACAAACAGATTTCAGGCATTTTCTGTCTTTCAAAATGGCAGTCTGACTCTGACTAGAGCCAGAGAGGAACTTACTCTTCTTTACTAAACTTTCCTATGCAAGCATTTTAGCAGTTTCCTATTATAGCTAAGAATATTTATATCTAAGAACTAGATAAAAAAAAAATCTTCATTTACTTACATCAGTTTATTGCACACAGGTGGCAAAAAGGCAGCTTTGTTTTCTTCTATCCATTTTCTTACATTTATAAGAAGCTCCATGGTCCACCAGCTATGACACTTTTGAGGAAGATTAAGTTAGAGTTTGCAGAGTGCTCTTTCAGTGAGCAAACTGCACGTGACTCTAACCCCAGAGCTCAGGGGATTGGTTGGTAGGAGAGGTGTCTTCAGGCTTGAGGACAGGTCCATCAGCCAAAGGTTACTTTGTAAAGAGTACTAGTCCTCCTGCAGCTTGGCTAATAATTGACTAGCATTTTTTAAAAAATTTATCTGAGACTCATTTTGCTCACAAGAGGTTGCTTAATTCTCTTTACCGCATCAGCTAGAGTGTTACCTCTATCTAGGGGAACTGCCTTGTTACATAGACAAACTGAGAGACTTAGAAGAATGGGCAAGATTTGGGCATGCACATCCTTCAAGCTTGATATAGAAACAGCAGTTTTCAAAGCTAAACACAAGTTGAGAGCGGTTACTCAAAGTTTAGATTTTTTATATATGTATACATAAATATATATACTATGTATACTATACTATGTATAATGTATGCATTTACACGTGTATATATATAATGAAAGCAAAGGTAGCTCCCAGCAGTGGGGAAATTCAGATGTAAGTATGGGGATATGAAAAAGGTTTGGTGAAATTTTTTTTGTTAAAGTGGGGGGAAGTAGAGATGATAAGGCAGGCTAGAGGAAAGAGGGTAACAAGAATTTGTAAGCTCCTATTAGGCATGCAGGTAGAGTTCAAATCCAGTACTAGTCATGTGTATGTATAACATTTATAATGTATGACCATACGTTCTGAAGCACCCAATATTGTGAATGGAGAATTTCATGTACATATGTAGAAACCTTTGAAATTGCATCCCTTTAAGATACCACTATGGAAACCTGTCAGGCTGTAAGACATCTTCTCTGAAGCAAAGTAGTCTTCCCTTGTGAGTGAAGACTCCTTTTCCGGGCAGGTCTCCCAACTACTATAACTTGCCTGCTTTTTAACAAGGAGATACCATGAGCTGCTAAAACCAGTGCTGCTTCACCAGTGCTAGCAGTGAATGGGAGTCAAAGTCTGCCCCAGTCCTACTCAGAGGTAGCTTAGATAGCAGTATTGTTTACTCTGCAAGCCTCAACATGGCTCATACAGATATAACTACATTTGGCACTACGCTGCAATTGGTGGCTAAATTCAAGGATTATGGATTTGATCTCTTTTCCTATCCTGTCAGCCTCCTCCCATACGTCTGAGGCTTGATAATGGAACCCACCCTTTTCTCACCTACCCTTAAGCTTCTCTGTCTGAACGTTTGAGAGAGCGTGGGTGAAAACACTGCGATCTTCTTCTGCCAGATAACAAAAAGAAAGACTGCATTTTAGTCTTGCATTTTTGAAACCAAAGGACGCTGTACATAAACGATCATTCTAATTTGATCCACACTTTGTCACTGTTGTAGCAGGGCTTGTTACAGAGCTGAGTATGATTCTATGACGCCTTTGGGAAAGTACAGCATGTTGCCATCACATTATTAGGCAAACGAGAAACTGACAATTATTAGGCATTGCACATTCAGATCCAGGTCTGTATTATTCTTTATTCCATCACGAATTTCTGTTCCATGTCTACACAGTTCCTACAGGATTGCTCACTCTGTTGCTCCTCCTGCCCCCAATTTTAATAAGTAAACGTACAAATATTTCGTATCAGCGTTAGAATACGCGAAGTGGGTGGTTGATGAAAAACTCAAGCCATTCCAAAATGTTAGAGCTTTTTAGCTGCTGTTGACGTAGCTTAGTCTTCCTATTACATCTACGTTATGTTCAGGGCACAGCTACGTATGGGTATAATACGATTTGTTTAAAAATGAACCGAAAATCCTCCCTGGCCTGTGTATATGAAGCAGTTCAGCTGATGAACTGAAGAATCAGTATGCTGGAATGGTACAAATCCGGGAGTTCTTTAGCTTATACCACTATAATTGTCCTATGGAAAATAAACACTGACATATGAGTTTGAACAAAGATTGAGGTAACAGCACACTCTTATTCCACTAAGTAGAAGGGTGTCTCTCTTTTCTTTAAGTTCAACTATATCACTTTGAAGTTTAGTTTAAACTACTCATATAATTGCTCAAAAAAGCTCAATTTATTCTGTGATAAAAACAACCACACAGGGAATTACAGTTTAGCTACACTAGTATAATCAGAATGGTAGTCTGGTAATACTTTCCTTTGAAATAAGCACAAAGCAACTTTTATTTCAGTGAATTAAAAAAAAATCTAACATTATTTATTTAGCACATGAAATTTCTATTATCAGAATGACTGTGGTGAGATATAAACAGTCATTATTCCTGTTTTTGGACCTACAGGCAGGAGCGTTTCAGTGCTTTTGTACTGTAAGCTGCTGGCACACCATTTAGTTGAGAAGAAAAGAGATCTTCCATTTAAAATACGTTTTTATCTAGGGGAGTGTGACCTGGCGTGGTGGGACCAGAAGAACTGATGGCGATCTCTTTTAATCACAAAGGTTTTGTAAAGCTCTGCCTCATCATTATTAACATGTATTGCAGAGCAGGATTTCCATTTGTCCAGCATGAAAACCAAGAGCTTGTACAAAGCCGCAGCAGGGAAAACCACAGATCCTGGAATAGATAGAGCCAAGCCTTGTTCACTCTGGAATTAATGTGCCAGCTCTAAGTGCAGGGCTATTCTGTCTGTAACCCCCATCCTAATCCCTAGTCTCTACTTTTTTTTCCACTAGGTAGAATGCAAGGTACTATTATCTGCCGAGAAAACTATCTCAGTCACAGGCTGGTAAATCCATTTTGTGGCTGCAGTGAGATGTGAAAAACTCACAGGCAGACTCATTCACAGAGGAAACAAACGAAGTTCACTCATAAAATTTACCATTAGTATGAAGCTGAGGTCACTACTGCAGGATAGCATTTTCTGTAACGTTCTGAAACAAAAAAGATTTTGAAAAATGCAGTTAATAGCCTTTTCATGCATGTAACAGGCGTAAGGGTACACCGCTTTTTCCGTGAGATGGGCTAAAAAAGGTTCTGTGCAGCCTGTAAGTACTGGGCCAGAAAACCCCATTTCTGTGAAGCGTATGGGAAAGATAAAGGAAAGCCACTGCTGCAGTCTCTGTGACACTGAAGTAAATATGTATGCCTTGGGGGCCTGGATTTTTTTGCCAGTCTGCCTTGCAGTTGACTTCACAACCACACAACCATCAAAATCAGCTCCAGAAGCCAGGTCCCAAGTTCTGCTTTCACTTTCTGCTCAGACTCTTACTTTCATGCAAATGTAATGAATCTAATTGGTCAGCTTTTTTGCTGCCAGAGCCACGCAAGACTACTGAAGCACAAACCTGCTAAACAAAAATAACTCATCTTTTGCATTGAGGGTGGGGGGAAAAAAGTGGTAGTGGAAAAACTCAGTTCAGCACCTGGGCTATTTTTCTGCTTTCCCTAATCACCAGACCTATAAGTGGCTTAAATTTACTAACTGGTGTCCAGCAAGCGGCATATGGTAACAAAAAACACATTCGAAAAATTTTGACACAACTTTTCTAGTTAGAAGAAGTATTCAGGTTTGCTGGCCAGCATTTTATCTCTATTGAAGTGATCTATACATTTGGTCATCTTTCTGTTATTCCCTATATTAATTTTATTCACCTAAAGATGTGATGATAAAGAACTAGCACAGTTTAGAGTTCCCAGGGAGGGGAGAGAGAAACAGATCATACAGCGTGACTCCTTCCCACCCCAGGCTGCTCATTCTATTCTTGACAGCAAATAGCATTGTGAAAACTGATTCTTAAACCTTGTACCCGGACACACTCAGAGGTTAACCTTTTTGTCATACTTAGTGCTAACAAGTATTTTGAAAAATCTTCACCAGTGCAGGTTTGCATTTATCAGTGATTTGAAGAAATATTCAGTACTGTTTCAGCTTTGCCTTTCTGTCGCTGTGTAATCCAGAGACTGTGATTTATCTACTTTGGGGTTACACTAATGGAGCTATGCTGAACTGAAAACCTGGAGGTTCTGCAAGCAGCAGAAAGCAAGAAAGCAAATAACTTTCTGCAGCATTAGGAAAGCTTTAACTTACACTTCTCCTTTTTCATTACTCTGTGAGGAAAGTGGAAACGGAAGAGAAGGATATGACTAAGTAATCCATTTCACCTGCTTAAAAACTCTTCCTTATTCTATTTTTGGCTAATACTGGCTTTTTCTGTTTGTTTTAAACCTTGCTTTGAGCACAAATATAAACAAACTTTTTTTTTTTAAATTAAAACTTTATTTATATAATTTACTGGATAGAAGACTCTCAAGTTGCTGGAGTTGCATGAAATAAAAATTCTAATCAGCAACACACCTGCTACTGAGCCCAAGTACAGTATTCCCACCTACATACAAATTCATCTGGCCAAATTTCACTGTTACATTTATAAGCATACTCTCAAGGGCACTCAGTCTCTGTGTGGATCAATATAAGAAAGAAGTGAATCAAATAGCACAACAGAAGAGTCAAAGATCCTATGAAATCTACTAGAATCATCACTATTGCCATTACTTTTATGGGAAGGCTGATTAAAATAATACCGTAGTCATTGCCATCTATCTAGACATCAAAAGCAGACTCACGGAGTCCTCCGTCTTGCCTGAGCCTAAGGCTAACTCTACAATAAAGAACCTGTTGTATGTTTGTAATTTCAGTAACGATTCTTCTTGACAATTCTGTATTTCCCAAAAAGCACTTTTTGGATGAAATTAAGTTCACGGCAGTCTTTGCATGGTATAGCACATTTTATTTGCTAGTGGCAGGACCCCACTGCTAATGGTAAAGAAGGCAGCTGCAGTTTTCTGGTATACCAACTAAACCTAAGTGAAGATGTAAGATGTGATGGTCTAAGAAAATAACTGACAGCACTTCTTCCTTCTGTATGCCAGCCACCTTCATCAATGGTCAAATACAGCAACTACATGTTATTCCACCTGTCAGTGGTGCCCATGACTGAAACACATTCTTAGTAATGCTCATAGTAACAGTACTGACAGCAAAAAAACTTTCTTGGCAGCAAATCAGAAGCATCTTGTCTCCATTCAAACAAGTCTCAAAAG